CATGTGCGAATTGTTTACAATATTAATAGCATGCATTTAGAAATAATTTGAAGTGTGAATTTTCAGCCAAGGCTTTCATGAAAGGAGCCAGATAACATTTTGTCCTGATTTGTTTCTTGTAGGAGATGATGTTAATTGAATTTTTGACTTATCATTCTTGTTTATGTTTATGTGTTATTGTTACAGCATAATGAAGTTGCATAGATACATCACTTAATGAGTGTGTGTGCTTGCTTTCATTCCCTGTTACTGTTTAAAAGTCTAGGCTCCTTTTCTCTTTGAGGAGGCCTGCATTTGTGTATGTGTCTGTGCGTGCGTGTGTGTGTGTGTGTGTGTGTGTGTGTGTGTGTGTGTGTGTGTGTGAGAGAGAGAGAGAGAGAGAGAGAGAGAGAGAGAAAGGGCTGAAAGATGACTCACCTATACAGTGGTGTGTATCAGGATCAATGCAGCAGGAGTGTACAACATTTTAGTGTTCATGTTAAACTAATTATTCCCTAAAATACAACTTCAAGAAAAAGTAACTGATCCCTTTGGATTTACCTTAGCTCACACTTAACTCAGATAGCTTTTGAAGAAACCAGTCTAACTATACTCTTTCAATCCTGCACTGTAAATGTTTTATTGTTCAAACAAAGACAAGAAAACCTCTGATTATTTGTTTGAGCAGACTTTTGTTGTGTGTTTTATGGAATTATTCAGAGATCTGGGTTTACAGACTGCACCTGTAAGTGCTTTTTCCATTCCATGCACTGAAGATAGCGTAAACAATTTATGAATATTTTAGTAACAAATAAAAATGGTTATGAATACTTTCTTTTCTTCAAACAGAAACCTCTCATAAACCTCTCCATGCTGCATCGCACAACCCTGAAAGTGGTTATTCTTCTACTATGACCTTCCACAAATTAAGCAATACATAGGCTAGCTAAGCATTTGTGATCAAACATGATTATTTGTGCTGTGTACTAAATGAAATTAACTGAAACATAATTATAGTAAAGTAATAGAGTAGAGTAGGTATATTAGCTTTGAAGTTTTTAAGGTTGTGTAACCTATAAGCAGGGAAACCAGAGATCAGACATCACTGTCTGATGTGCAGATGTTTCTTTGAGGGACTGGCATGAATAATAGATCAGACAACAAAGTGTTCTCCCACAGCGGAGTTTCCCAGCAGGCAGCAACACTGATTTTATAATCTACCTCCTGACTAGGGATATGCTATAGTTATGGTACCCATAGGCGGAGTTTAGAGCCAATCATGATTTTGTCTGAGCTACAAATAAAATATACAAATTAAATAATTTATATTTTCTCATTTTATTTGTATTATCTTATTATTTTAGTGGATTGAATAAGTACCTACATTTTGAGCTAAATTAATTTCTATGATATTTAAGCATCATCCTCGCAAGCCGCGACTCATCACGATGCTTAACTTGTCGCGATAGGCTACAAGAGAGGACTCTCTTTTCATTTTTTCCCTGCTTTAGCAAGTTAACTGAATGATGGATATTTATTGTAAAAAAAAATCTAATCAAAACGTTAAATATATTAGGAGTGTGCGATATTGACAAAAAATAAGTGTTATTGTGCTGATATCTTAAGGACTAACGTGGACAGCTGACTCCTAAAATTTTTGTTATTCTTCATAATCTGTGTGGTGATCAGTTCACAGCAGTGATAGAAATTAATCTTTTCCAATAAGTTTAAATAGATTTTTACCTTTTAAATGAAATCAGTATTGACAAAATCCATCTTTGCAATGCAGAGAAAACACAGAAGCTGCATTAGAAGGGGCATTTAGATGCATTTACATTTATATTGTTTAATGCAGGACATTAATGTATTTAACCTGCAGTTACAAATGTATTCATACTGTTTTGATATTTTAAACATAAAACGTTGAATACTGATATTTGAAATTATAAAAAAAGAAAAAAGAAAAGATACTTTAAATATTAAATTAAAACTGCCAGTAGGTGGCAGCAAGTCACTGTTAATAAGTGAGTCATTGCGACTGAACCGAATCATTTAAACGCTTGATTCATTCAGGAACGAAACACCTTCATGTTGCTCAGAGATGCAAATTGGAATTATATTTGTTGGCGAAATAGAGCAAAAACAGTCAATATTGTGTCTAAAACGTAAGTATCTTAATATTAAATTCTTGTTTATTGGACTGCTGTATAAAATCAATATCACATTTGTAATCATGCTGCTTTTTGGTGGAAAAAACGTCAGTCTTCGCGTGATACTGATTAACTATATGAAATGATATAAATATATACATTTCTGCCTCCATATCTTGAATTTTGTGATCATTTTAAATGCATTTTGATAAACTGAATCATGCAGTGAACTGAATCATAGCTCTCATGAGTCATGGATGTTAGCAAGACAAATTAACTATAATTGCCTTTTGTCTTTTGGGTAATTAGCTGTAAATTCGAGGCACAGGTAGCTTTTAGTCTTTTGTTCATCACCACCACTCACCTCCACACCAAGACAAACACAACTGGAAAGGGAGGGAGGGCTTCACTTCTGCGGCTCTCTGCCTGATGCGCATGTGCCGATCAATGTGTGCTACACTGCTGTGCTGCGCCTGCGCGGAGGGGCGTCGGAACTCGACAGTCTCAACATTTCCCAACCCGAACCTGATATTTAGATTTTTTTATTAGTTTGACAAGGAAAGTTGTGTGCAAACAGAAACACACACACACACGCGTACATATAGCTATACATATATTCATTTATCAAAAAAAGGGCACTTTCTAGAAAAAGGGCAGGTGCTCAAGCCCCCTTTTATGTCTATGTGTGCACGGGCCTGGCTGCACGGGTCTCAAATAGCTCGGACATGCCCGAGACGCTCAGGCCCTAGCCCGGCCCATGTCCGACAGCTTCTCCCAAAACAGCCTACAGTATACTACTGTTTCAGCTATTAAAATGGTTTAGTCTTGTATGTAATGGCAAAGTGATTATATTTCGTTTCGTTTTTTTATTAAGTTAATTTAGAAAAACGTTTGGAGCATTTTTGTTCTTTAAATATAATTTTTAGTTTTTAAAGTAATGACCAAGTGGCCCGCAGCAGACAGTGAGCTTGTTTGATCAATTTAGCCTTTTCAAATCATCACGACTTGCCTAAAATAAAATATATAGATATAAAACAGTTCAAGCATATCACAATGTTTAAACGTTAAACCTATAGGTGCGCTGTATCCATAGTTTGAGCGGAGAGTGGAAGCTATAAAGCGCGCTTTGCAGGACATGGAGGCGCCAGCGCAATCACTTGCATTCTTTTCAGTGGATACGCCGTCATTTTTGCTCATAAAGGTAAGAGTAGCCTAATACATCATTCGCAACTGTAAAGGGTCTACTTTTATTAGTGTGCACTCACAATATCAACAAAACGTTGTGCTTTTATAAAATAAAGAAAACAAACATGATGCGCTTTCTGCCGTCTCGTCTTCAACAGGAGCGCTTCACAAAAATGAACCGAAACTCAGCGAATACATGCCTCACAGACATGATACATTTATCTATAGAAAGCTTTAAATTACTACTTAACGAAATAAATCAAATCAAAAACAAGAACTCTTTCATTAATTCAGGAAAATGCCCGGTATGCCCGATTACCAATCCAGCCCTGCCTATTAGTATTGAGTGCATTTGAGCGCAGAACTCTTCAGCTGCACTGACGGCACGCATGCCGCTGCTGCCGCTGCTGCTGCGGGACAATAAACACCGTCGAGCCGCTCTTGACAGTCGCGGTAGCACGGTCTCGTGTTGTTCCCACCAGCGAGGCAAATTTTTTTTCATCACTAATTGATGGATGTCTAAAATATAAAAATAAGGAGAAGCCTAAAACAGGCCAGAGGCCCGGCCCGCGTCTGAACTTTGACGTGAAAATTGTCCCGAAGCCCGGCCCGAGGGGCGTAAAAAAGTCGGGGCCCGTCGGGCCCGGGCTGAAATGCAGGGCTCTAGCTCTGATCTAGCACACAGAAAACGATTTGACAGAAAATTTATCAGAAGAGATGAAAGAAAGATAGTGGTCATCTACGCAATTCGGAAAAAGAGGCGGCTTTTCTGCATTAGGTATGTTTTTGTTTTTTTTCACTTTTTGGACAGCAGTTATTGTTCATTCTAAATGTATTTGTAATGCAGAATATGTGTTACATAAATACATGAAATGTAGAACATATAAAAAAAAGTGCTCGTGGCTCGTCTGCCAGTCACATAAAAGTGAAACTCCGCCTATGATGGTACCATGATCATATAATGTTGTATATTAATTTGTCTGTTTTTAAAACTCGTGTGAATATAAGTGATCTGTGAATTGGCTTTAAAGAATGAGCAAAAACAGAGATGGTATGAGGAACTTTTTCATTGGCCAGAATGAGATTATCACAGAGGATTCCAGTCATTGTCCACATTGTCCACTCTTCTGTCACCCAAGATAGAGGTCAGTGGTTCCCAAAGCCCAGTCAATATTCACACCAAAAAGGCAATAGCAAGACTCTACTGTAAACATTTTCTCTCTACTTTTTTTATATTGTTAATTAGTTATTTTATTAGTGATTTTTTAATAGCTAATTACTTATATTGATAGTGGACACTATCAAACAAAGAGTTAGTAGCCTAAGTTTAAACTCGCCTAAGCCTAAACTCGCAGCCTTTATTTAAAACGCAAAAAAAATATATATATATATATATATATATATATATATATATATATATATATATATATATATATATATATATTAGAGAATGAAAGTCAGAGCGGATCGTAAGTTTAGAGACCCAGTTGGCCATTCACTCGCTTCTGGCCCTTTAAACGTCTCTTTGAGGTGGAGAAACATCTGGTTGTTGACTGAAACCCAGCCATTCATAAAAACAGGAGAGAGAACTGCTCTGATTGGCTGACTGCAGCTTCATGGTGGCGTAGGTAATGCAGAGACAGCCATTGGTCAATCACTTGCTTGACGTGAGGAACTAACCAATGAGCGTGAGCTGCAATGTTAAGCCGATGCTCTCGGAAAAGCAGGCGATCCCATTAAGAAAATTTCAGTCGCGTCAGGCTGAGAAAGAGCGCGATACCCATTACACATCGCTAACACAGACTGTTTTTCACTTGGATTTACCAAATCACTCTTTTTTATATACAAGCAGAGGATTTAATCACCGCTGGGTGAGTATTTTCTGCACGCTGCTCTTGTTTTGTATTGTTTAATTATACCCCGATGCAAGTTTCATATTTTGCTTGAAATTTTATAAAGTTGTATTTACTTCAAACGCCGCGTTTGGTTTTGCTGGCTCGCTCGCCATTTTCTTTTGTGCGCATATTTGGCAACCATTGCCCCGCTGTTTGTTTTCTCAGTACTTTTTTAAAACTCAGCCATAATCGCAGTTTGAGTTCTGCAAAATTCATATGCGGTTTGATGAAGTGCTTCTCGCGCGTTTGGTATTTTTTATGAATGGAACGGCTGAGTTTTTTTTCGGGGTCGCGCGCACGGAGGATCAAATTTCACTTCATTGAGAAAAACAAGCGGCCGAGGGAACGGAGGGAACGGAGGGAACGGAGGGAACGGAGGGAACGGAGGGAGGGGGAGCGCCAGATAATGGGCGCTGGGGGGGAGGGACTGAACTTCTTGAACTTCTTGAACTCGTTCATATACCTGTTAACTCGCTGTTGTAATGCTATAATCGCGATTTACTTATTTAACAGCTATAGTTTCCGCTGGCAGCCTTTATTATCGCCAATAAAACCTTTAAAAGCACAAACTCTTCATTTTCAGCATGAAATGTGCAGACGCACGTTCCTCCTGTTTTATAAAGGTCTGATAAGCTTCAGGAAGCAATAATGGTAAGCGATGGATGCTTAATTAGTTCTTGGTCCGGAGAGGTTTTCTTGGCCTCGCGACTGTAATACGATTTTATGGCCTGAAAACTTGCGTCAGGGAAAATAAACACACGTGTGTGAGATGATGAATTTAGGCTTCGTTATTTTATTCCTGCCTTTCCACTGTTTCAATCTGAACCTTATTTGTTTTAAGAGATTAAGCTGGTTAATTTTTTTTTCCTTTTCTAAATTATTAATTTCATTTAGACTCCGAGTATGGAGTCTTGGGTAGTCTCATGGGCAACAGATGGCACTGTATGGTTATGTAAGGACCCCCATCTGTACCGTGAGCCTTAAATGGTTTGTGTGAGAGGGTGAGCAAGTGTAAGTGTCCTGCACTAATGCATCACAATTCATCTGAGATGAGAGTGAGTGTTACACAAACAAACAGGCTAGTTGAAGTTTTCACCGATCAAAGGGACAGTTGGTCCTGGACTGTCAGGACCTGGGACGTTCACTGACAGCTGCATCAGATCCTGACAGAGTGCGTTGTGTGTCTTTCTCTAAGTGCCACTTTTCTCGGCTCTTCTTCCAACAGGTGACGATAACACCCCCCTTTCTCCCAGTTTATTCCCGTTTTCCCTCCTGCTGCATCTCACTCCGCAGTGAGAAGCAAGTGACATGGACGGGTTTTACGACCAGCAGGTCCCTTTTGTGGTGCCCCCCAGTGTAAGTCTCTGCTTCAACTCGTCATGCCTCAATTTCTTCACTTTTGTGACTAATTCACTTTCAAATGTTGTACTACAGAAGTCCATCCAAACTGGATGGCTGTGAACAATGATCACTTGTTCAAACTTTCATTATTTGATCTTGGTCTTTTTTTTTTTTTTTTTTTTTACAGAAGTCTCACATGCCGGAACCATCTTGCAGGCCATTCAATGACCGAAAAAGGAAGTTTGTTGACACTGAGTTGGCACAGGATACAGAGGGTAAACAAATGAGCATGCAATCAATCCATCCAGATCCCTCTAAAGCACACCATTTAACCCTGGCCCAAACAAATCAGCCTGTTTATTCACAAATCAATCTTTGTGTCCCACAGAGCTCTTTCAAGATCTGAGCCAGCTACAAGAGATTTGGATAGCAGAAGGTAAGGCAACAGTCCTAAGCTCTAGAATAGTAATTGTTATGGAATATATTTCATAACTACTGTTAAAACACAACTTGGTTGTTAATGCATCATCCAGTGGTTGATCTCTGGGGGCCCATTCAAACGGGATGAGACATTACGGCATTTATAAATATACAAATTATTTATAGTTACTTTAAATATTTCATTTATTTTTTATAAATAAATTAAATTGTTTTGTTTTTCCTCTCCATGTGCAGCCCAGGTACCTGATGACGAACAGTTTGTTCCAGATTTCCAGTCGGATAACTGTGAGTGCTCTTTGAATATTCCTGCAGTATAACCTATAGAACTTGACTTTATGAATTATAGAAACTGTCTTTGAATTAGAGAAGCAATCCTGGCACCTTCCTCCTTGAAACCAAGAAAACCAATTGAATGAATCTCAAAACACTGCATTCCAAAAGTTTCTGTGTCAAACCAGATTCATTAGCATGAGTTTAAGATGTGTGTGTGTGTGCATGCACACATGTGAGGCCCAGGCTGCCGCTGCGGTGCTGTAACTCATGGCAGCCTCCAGCTTGGTGACATTTTAATGTGGCTGGATCCTCGGCACGCACACTCTGGTTATTATGTGCTAGTGAACAGTGCTCTGGCTGTTTCCCTTGTTAGTTTTTCTTCCCATTTGGCTCTGAATAAGTCTGATTGTGTGCATTTTCTATGGTGTCAATGGTGTTTATTGTAGAAGGTGAATGCACATGGATGTGTTTGCATAGAAATTGTGTGTGAGAGGGTATGTGTGTGTTTGTCTGGCACAATTCCCCTTATCTGGCATCGTGCCTGTAGCTCTCACAGGCCCCTCTTTCACCACAGCTGGGCAGTGGGGCCCTTTTTCCATAGGAATCACGTGATAGTCTGCGAGTTCTAACTAGCAGCCTCCCTTTCTAGAGGGAAAGGTCTTTTTCCCCTCCTCCTTTTAAAACTGAGTAGTTCTAGTAGTCCAGTACTTACATATCCATCAAACATCTGACACCAGATGATGTTATGCTACCGGTCAAAAGTTTGAAGTAATTAGGGGCCAATTGTATCCATTAGAATTCTTCTTCTTATTATTATTATTATTATTCCACTCTTGAGTTTATGGCAGCCCATAGAACCGCTTGCGGGAAAGTTTTGAAATTTGGCACACTGATAGACGACAGTCTCAACATTAACCATAGCAAATTTGGAGTTTCTAACTCAAACTCTTTTTTTCACTCATGAAGTTTCACTCATGTTTATGCTAATAACTTTTGAACCGTAAGGTTTAGTTTTTTTTTTTAATCGTAAGGTTTAGTTTTTTTTATTTTAGAATGAATTCACCAAAATTAAAAAATCGTAAGGTTTAGTTTTTTCGCTATTTTTAATAGTTCATAAAACCTACTTTTTCGAACTCATCCTAGACGGTTTGTCTGATTTTCGCCAAAATTGGCTCAGATCATCTTCTGACCATGCTGGCAAAAAAGTAATGGAATTCAAGTTGATTCATCAAACCGTTCTCGAATAACGCGCAAACGAATTCTATGAAAAGTGCACAAAAATGGATCTGAGGCTATACCTCCGCAATGGTTTGGCGTATTGAGACCAAACTTGGTGTGTGTTATAACAAGCATGACCTGAGGCTACCTGCAGTGTTTCGGCACTGTGCCACGTAGTGTTCAGGAGATATGAAAAATGGCTATTTTTGCTTATAACTTCTGAATGGTTTGGCCAAAAATCACAAAACACTTTAGATTCGGTGGAGCATGCTGAGTCGAACCAGATCCATTTTTCCCATGTCATCCTTTATGAACACATTGACGTATCGTTACGAAACTCAGAATTTCAAACTTTTGACCAGTAGTGTAGGTTCCAAATTAAAGAACTGTGTTTTTGTTAGTATTTTTGAGACTTTAAAATGTAACACTTTTTTTTTCTCTCTAGTGATGTTCCATGGACCCCCTCAAACAAAAGTAAAGCGGGAACTGAGCCCAAGCAGAGAGTTTTCCCCGTGTGGACAAGAGCATAGACTGTCTCCATATGGAGAAAAGTGCCTATATAACTACAGGTATACATTTCTTTATCCTTTCCTTCTCCATTTTTCTCTCACTCCTTCTCACTGAATCATATTTATTTCTATTTTGTCATTTAATTTTAGTGCCTTCGACAGGAAGCCATTTACTTTTAACAAGCCACTCACTCCTCCTTCTACACCGGCATCACCCTTTGGCTCCTCCACCAGCACAGCAACACACCCTGTGCAAAAAAGAGTGATGCCACCAGCCCAGACTCCGACACAAGGCCCGCCACTATTACCTGGTCCCAACCACAGCTCCACACCTCCACATCAGAGAGCACAGACTCCACTCCACAGTCAGAACCCACCTTTTGCTGTGCCCTGCCCACCTGTCAATCACCCAGATGCCTCCTACAACACAGACCACAGGTATGGATATATGACGAGATGTATTTGATCCCGGAACTTCATAGTTACTTTTTGGGTCACGGTGATCATTTTCTAACCTAATTTCTATCTTTACCTCCTGCTTGAGTTGCTCGTGCCTGTTGAAAGTGCTGTAATCAGCTCAGGTTGAGCCTTTCATTGGTATTATCTTGTTAAAGACACCACACTGACCTGGAAAGCAGTTATATATTTATCCCTTTCAAGTCTCCAGGTTTAAAAAAGAGCTTTACCACCAGACTTATCCCTTTGACATGACACTAATGATCTCAGATGCCCTTGGTGTTGTGAATAATGCCATCTCAACGTAATTTCTCATCTTTTGCCTTTCTATTTCGTTAGGTTCCATCGTCAGCTTTCTGAGCCCTGTCTGCCATTCCCGCAGTCCGATGGCCGCTGTCAGACACCTTATCCCCCCCAGGCCCGTGGCCATTTTCCCCGACACGGCCGCCCCCCTTATCAGCGCCACATGTCAGAGCCGTTAGTGCCAATACCTCCCCAGGGATTCAAAAAGGAAATGGTGGATCCCTGTTACAATGAGCAGGGTTTGCAAAACATGGGACCTCCTCGTGCACCGTTGTTCCACCAAATGTCAATCAAACAGGAGCCCAGAGACTTCAGCTATGACTCAGGTAGGTGTAAATCTCTTGCGGTACATTCACACGGTGCATCGATGCTTGATGGAGGGCGTTTCTGAAGCTTGGTGCTGACGCGACCGTCATAGTGACAACAGCCAATCACATTAGTTTTCTGGTTTTGCATGAATGCGATTGTCTGCACCTGGGTATTTGCATAAGGCGATCTGATTGGCTGACGCCTGCATTGGCACTTGAAAAGTTGAAAAGTTTTCAACTTCTGCCACGAGCCCCGTGTGAATGTACCATTAACGAGTTGCTGTAAAATAAGTAACATTGGCTGTAAAATTGTCATAATGGTGAAATTTCAAAGGCAAAAGGTCAATTTTTAATAGTGTAGTGATGAATAAAGCACAGCTTACACTGTCACTTTCTGTTGGTCAACATGGAGAATTTGTGGAAATAAATCATTTGCACTCAAATGAAATTCCAGCACAAATTCCTTTTGAAATGACTCTTATTGGCAGCAAAAAATCACCTGACAACAGTATATGTGACTGTACCATTAGTGTGAAACAAAATTTCAAACTTTTTTTTTTTATTTACTTTCAAACTTTATTATATTGTATAGTTTTTATTACTTTTAAAGAGATTTTATAATAAAAAAAATTCTGATGAGCTTGAACTCAAACTTTTTATTATACTGTTTTATTTAATTTATTATTTTAATCTGACTGTATTATTTTTCTCAATTGTCTTGCAGAAGTGCAGAACTGCCAGTCATCATTTGGCAAATCAGCAAACTTCTATGGCGCCAGCGAGGGTAAGACCTTTTGTCAGTTTAGTTTCATCTACATCTACTTCCTTCAGGTGCAGATGATTTATTAATAAACGACTTTTAATTAGTCTTATGTCCATATTAAATTCACTTTTTTTTTCCCTGGCTGCCAATTGTAGGTTTTGGGTATGACGGAGAATCCCATCTGTATTATGATGATACATGTGTAGTGCCAGACCGCCTGGAGGGAAAGCTGAAGCAGGAGGGTGGAGTTTTCCGGGAGGGTCCTCCGTATCAACGAAGGGGGTCTCTGCAACTCTGGCAGTTCCTGGTCACTCTGCTGGAAGACCCATCCAACAGCCACTTCATCGCTTGGACTGGCCGTGGGCTGGAGTTTAAACTCATTGAACCAGAGGAGGTCAGTGTGTTATGAAAGCAAATGGCTTTATATCCAATTTATTTAGCCAACAAGCAGAATTAATTCACCCTTTTTTAAAAAGGTTGCTCGCCGTTGGGGCATCCAGAAGAACAGGCCTGCGATGAATTATGACAAACTGAGCCGCTCCCTGCGCTACTACTATGAGAAGGGCATCATGCAGAAGGTAAAGGCACGTTCCCGTTCCAATGTCATTTTTCTTCTTTCAATCCCTTTATCATAGTTCCCTCATTATCTGTAGTTAGTCAGAGCTACCCCATTAAAACATATCAGCTTTTCTCAAATAAGTTTCTAAGACATATCTCTTTCTCTCGTTCATATGCAGGTTGCTGGAGAGCGGTACGTGTATAAGTTTGTGTGTGATCCCGATGCGCTCTTCTCCATGGCATTCACTGATAACCAGAGGCCCAGTCTGAAAGCAGACCCTGATGGGCTGCAGGTTCCAGAGGACGACACTGTTCCGCTCTCACATTTTGATGAGAATAACAGTGTCCCGTATCCAGGCTATGCCAGGGACCAGTGCTTAGCGGGGCCGTCCTTTCCTGAAAATTACACTTTCTGAACTGTTTCACCACTGATGGGCAGACCAGAAGAACTCTAAAAATGTATCCTCACACTCCAAATGCAGCTTGTGTCAAATTGTAATCGCTCCAATGAGGAACCTGTAGCGCCTGCTGACAAGTCTCTAGACTTTCTTGCCACACTTTTATTGTTTGTTACTACACAGGTTCCAAGATGGAATTTTTTTTTTAATTACAAACAACAAAACTTAAAGGGACACAACAGTATTTTCCAGAATAACCTATGATTTTATATATATATATATAAATAAGTGTATATTTTAAAATATGGCTTTTGTGCACCGCTTTCTTTGTGTATCGGACCTGGTGTCTTTTTTCAATGCTCTGCTAGTGAGATTTGTAACAACTTCTGACAATGCATAATGATGCACCTCAGGCTGTTGTCATTATCAGAGTGTATATAGCTTTGATTATAATCTGGAAAAATGCAAAATTTTTCTCCAGCTGGCCAAGAGAAATGCTTTATAACTGTTCAGAAATAGTTATTTCAATTGCTTTTGTAATGTGATTTTTTTTTTGGATACGGGGTGGGGTAAAATGGACAAAAATAGGGTAAGGGAATTGAAAAGTGAAATCTATGTATATTATGAATATATTTTTGCAAAAGCTGAATTAAATTGCATTGTATAAGCTGTACAACAGACTTTTATCACTTAATCTGTTCTTTTTGTGTAGTGTGTGTGTGTGTGTGTGTGTGAAATTGCAAACCAGCTCTTGATATAGGGGAAAATCAAGGCTGAAATGCCTGATCCAGGATCAGTCATGCTTGTGCGACCTTTAACTGTTTACCAAAGGATTATAGGGAGGCTGTCTGATCTCTACTCAGTAGTAAACAAGCATGGCAAGAGGCTCTTTCCACCTTCACTGTCAACCTTATTTGTCTGTACTGGTACAACAGACCTCTAGTTCTGTGGATAAAATTGTCTTTTTCATTGTCTTTTGAAGACAATTTCTTTTAAGAATTTTCAAGTACAGTTTTGGTGTACAATTACAGGTCTGTATTTTCTAAACTATAAGGTACAGGATAAATAAACATCCATAAACGGATATGGTGGTTCTTGGATTTTTTTTTTCCTATGTGTTTAATAACTTAACTTGGACAAGGTAAAATTTCTAAATCTATTCTGATGAAGAAACTCATCTTGGATGGCCTGAGAATTAGTACATTTTCAGCAAATTTAGATTTTTGGGTTAATTTGTTGTGTTTGGAACAGTGTTGCCAAGTCAGCGGTTTTCGCGGAATTGGGCTACTTTAAAGGGTTAGTTCACCCAAAAATGAAAATTCTGTCATTAATTACTCACCCTCATGTCGTTTCAAACCCTTAAGACCTTCGTTTATCTTCGGAACACAAATGAAGATATTTTTGATGGAATCTGTGGGCTGTCTGACCCTGCATAGACAACAACGCAACTGAAATGTTCCCAAGTCCAGAAACGTAACAGCATACATTGTTTTACGTCCAGCGGATATTCTCCAAAATGGCACCAGGGTGATGCGGAGGAGACGAATTGTATAAAGTCGTTATTTTTTTATAAATATTTTTTGGTGCGTATAGCTTCGTATAATTACGGTTGAACCCCTGATGTCACATGGAGTATTTTACTGATCTCCTTGCTACGTTTCTGGACTTGGGAACATTTCAGTTGCGTTGCTGTCTATGCAGGGTCAGACAGCTTTCAGATTCCATCAAAAATATCTTAATTTGTGTTCCGAAGATGAACGAAGGTCTTACGGGTTTGAAACGACATGAGGGTGAGTAATTAATGACAGAATTAAAATTTTTGGTGAACTAACCCTTTAACACTGTAGCCGCTGTTTGTTTTTTGAAGCGACCCCAACAATGCGATATTTAGCCCCTGAAATGCGAATCATACCGGGAACCCCACCAGAAAATGTGTATTTTAACCCCACCCCACCCCCTCCAGAACGCAATTTTTAACGGGGGACCCCCCTCGAAATGCGATTGGGCTAGTTTTAAATAGCAATTGGGTGGGCAACCCTGGTTCTGAGCAACTGGAAAGTTTGGTAGTGTGTGACCTTCAGTTCTTCAGTGTACAATGCACAGTTTTTTTCTGTAACAATTTACAATGTATGAGTATGATGGCCTAGTGTTATAAAATCTGTTAAAATGGGAAAAAAAATTGTGCAGTCTGTTTCAGCCTTTACATTTTGACTATTCAGTATTTGAAAATCCTTTGTAATGTAACAGCAGGACTACTAATGAGGTTCCTGATATCTATCAGAAAAAAAACATTAGCATTCCAGCAAAACCATGCATTTTACATCCTGCAGGAATCGTACCATTTCTGTAGGATGTTACACAATCCTACAGGACGTCAGTGGACATACTTACAGGAATCCTGTAAGTACATAAGAAATCCTGCAGGAGTGTTAGATTCCTGCAGGACATAACACAGTCATACACGAACAACCCTACAGGACTCCTGCAGGAATATACCCTGTCCTGTAGGATTTTTATTCAGTCATACAGGATCCTGCAGGATCCCTGCACAAAGAACAAGTCATACAGGAACAACCCTACATGACTCCTGCAGGAATGTGCCCTGTCCTGTGGGATTTTTATCCAGTCCTGCAGGATCCCTGCACATAAAACCAAAATCCTACAGGATTCCTGCAGGATTTTTTTTGTAAGGGGTGTGGCACATTAAGGAATCTCATTCACGTGGGACTGTGATCTTTCCTGGAGCCTCTCAGTTTGACCGCTAAAACTGTAACCCAGCAAAGCCTGTGTAACGAGGCGATGCAAAGTTACAGGGTATTGCATAACCAAGTGACGCTCATTCTCTTTCTCCTCTGCTCTCTTCTTTAGCAGAGTTAGTCTTAATCCTACTGGTGACCTTGTTTCCTGGAGCCAAAGAGCTGAAGAGTTATTAAGATGTCATATAATCTGATCATCATAAAGGAACTCAAGCTGATTCAAGGAATAAAGGTTAAATTTGTTGGTGCAAGACTACATCAAAATTACATATACCTAAAAAGTATTATTCTGTTTTAGGGACTGAGTACCATATTTACTGTTATACAACAGTTCCACTTCTCAAATTTGATTGGCCAAGTGGCAGTCTAAGAATGGTTATATGTAGTATAACAGCACTAGGATGTTTCAGTATTTGTTTCGCTCAGTTCATCTGTGCTCATGCCATTCCAGAGCACAGTACGTGAACAGTGCTGATTACTTTCTATCAATTACTCGTCTATAGAACTGTTGTATAAGAGGAATATCACACTCACAATTGTGCTTAATAGCAGATGTGATTTTCTGTGGCACAGGCTGCAGCCCTGCAGATATTCAGTACCATCACACTCCTGCACATGTGATATTGCTTACATAAATCAACAGCTTTTACAGTGTGTTGGTGGTGTCAACTGGAACATAAGACTTCTGTAAAGAATAAAAAATGATGTCAACGCAATTTGAATGTAGTTCTTAAATAATAAGAGCAACAGCAAATCTATAAAAGAACCATTTTGGGCTCCCCAAAGTACACTTTCGATTTACAGTTATTAAAAAAAACATTATTTTCTGAGTGTGAAGAACATTTGAATAATCTACAGAATGCAACCCCCCCAATTTAAATAACCTTTTGTGCACTGTAAAGTTTCCATGGATGTTAAACGTTCTTCATGGAACCGCAGATGCCAATAAACATCCTTTATTAATTTTTTTAAGAGCTGAGTTATGGCGTCAAAATCCGACGCCTCGAAAACATCCTGAATGGAAGGAAGCGGCACTGCCCAATACTGACCTCCAAAAAGTCTGGTGGCTGGGTTGAGTCAACAGTAAATGAGCTGCTGGTTACTTTTAGTGTAATAGCGCCGACTGGTGGTTTGTTAGGTAAATTACAGGTTGATGTTATATAAGCACGCACGTCACTGAACACAGAGTTTTACGTCAACGAGAGTAACTCTATTAGGTTAATTACCAGTAACTACGTCTGTGATCATTTTGGGCGTAACTAATATTTTCATGATGAGCCAACGTGTAGCCTAAGTAAACATGCAAGCACAATATCATTGGCCACAAAGGTTATCAGTCAAATAGCCAGAAGACTTCCGTGCTTCTGTACGCTTGGTTTTGTTTTAGAGCTAGCTGATCCAAAACACGCTCTCCATAGTAAATATAGACATTTTTATGACGTCAGATTAAACTCATATCGCTGTCAGTCACCCTTCCTACCCTAATGACGTCATCCAATCACTTCCTGTTACAGTTCAAGTACGGAAGAGATTGCACCAAAACTTTCCCATAAGATTCATTTTTAGGTCGCTTCTATTCGCAAGTGCGATCATTAAGTATGGCGTACCCAGGATATAACAATGTAAGTGTCACTTATATTTTTATGTTCAATTGCAGTTTGTAAAATGTAAAAGAAATTGATATTTTCCTTAAGATGATCTTGCTTGAGAAACCTATATGGCATGTTATTACGCCACAAATAGTTCAATCAAATAAATTACATTTTCTTTCATATGAGTCAGGCATAAACTATAACACGCTGCAAGTCATTTGGTAAACTGATCAGTCTGGTCAGAAATGTAACTAATGATACAGGGCAATATTTGCCCGCTGGAATTGGTTTTCAAGGGCATTTGAACCTTTATACGGACCAAAAAAATCTAATAAAATAATAAAACAAAGAAAAAAGAAAAGAAAATATCTTGAATGATTATTTTTACCCTACTGGTAAAATATGTGTTTCCCCCCTTTTAAGCATAGACTTAGAAAATGTGTTTGATTAATGCTTAAAACAAGTCTTAATGTATTAATATAGGAAATGAATCAAGTGAAATAAATTCACTATCTGAAAAAGTATGCTAGTTATCTATGCTGTCGGGAAAAAAGTGCAAAACGTATACAAATTTAGATTTGTATTATATAATAATTGTTTATATTAACAAGCTTGTCACTGGGGCATTACCATTAAAAGGACAACTTTGTACCTTATCTATCACTAAAACGTACATGTGCACCCTTAATACTTTTAAGGGTAAATAACGTACAAAGGTATTGAAGATACTGCCCCAGTGACAGGCTGCTGTAGCCCAAAAGGTACAATTCAGTGGCGTAACTTTGCTTTGAAAAGTGGTGGGGACACCGCGCAACTCGTTTTGCTAGTTTTGTATTTAATAACCTAATTTACTTGGGGACTGGGTTTAGAGTTGGACAAACTTAATTTTTGCTTTTCAAAAATACATCGATGTACCAGGTGCGGCTCCAGAGAATTTTGAACGCAGGTGCTGAGGGGGTGCTAGATCACTGACAGAGGGAGCTGGGCAATCATTCTTCCCACTGCTCGCTCTCTTGCCATTAACTTTCTCAGTTGGTTGCACAAGCACCTTTTTGGTTTTTTTGCCTTACAACATGCTGTTAATCAATGCACGCTGATGAACTTTTATCGTTGTTTATAGTTATATGGAAACGAAAGTATTTAACATTCAACCCGTTCTTTTTCATCAGTAGTATTATTTGTGATTTGAATTTTGTGAACGGGAGTTCCTCTTTTGACATGTTATAAGCCGGCTTCGGATGCTTTCACATTTTCGATTTCACGATCTTGTCAGGTTTTACAATGAAATATAATTGTCTGTTTTGCTTACATCTATAGACCTTTCACCTTTTAAGACAAAAAAAAAAAAGATGGATTCATTATTTTTAATTAAAATGCACAACAACAATAAAACAGTATTCAATGACAAACTAGCTTACAAAACGTTATTAACAAAAACGAATAAGATGAGGCATGGCATAGGCCTACACGCTGTGTTAGGCTATATAATGACTAATAAATTACAGAACGTTTAGCAAACACTGAGGAATCAAAAAAAAAGAGCATATGGTATGGAAGCCGTTTCTGCCACTGAATAAAAAAAATTAAAAAAAAGGTAATTGCAACTTTTTATCTCACAATTCTGACTTTTTTCACAGAATTGTGAGATATAAACTCGCAATTGCGAGTTATAGTCAGAATTGCGAGACATAAAGTCACAATTGCGAGATAAAAACTCGCAATTCTGACTTTTTTTCTCGCAATTGCCAGTTTATATCTCTCAATTATGACTTTTTAACTCGAAATTTAACTCGAAAAAACCTTCTCTGGTTTAAGAAGCGGTCTTTTACTTGACTTAAGTGTGAAAACCATCAATATTCGCGTCATTTTTGCTGAGCGCACCTTCTGCAATTAATAATAAATATAACCAAAACAGGTATTATAATTTTTATATGAATAATAAAATAAATATAAGGAAAAGTTGCCCATTCGATTTTGTAATATTCTTTAATTTTGTAGTCGGTATGAAAAGGTGCATTTCTATTAAAGGCACGTCCATGTGGAGATGGCGACTCAGAAAGCACTAGTTTATTAATAAATAATTAAAATGTCTTCTTTTCCCCCGACACGTTCATAATCACTTTGCCGGTGCTTTGAGGCAATTGCTTTATGCGCGAGCTTGAACGCCAAATACGTCTGCCTATAGCCTATATTGAAGTATGCATGGCGCTTATAAATTATATATTTAATAATTAATATATTATTATATTAATCAATTTAATATAACGTGCGACTAGTTGACTAGACAAATCTTTAGTAGAGGGCAGGCCTATACTTAGCACAAGGAAGCTCTCCATTTTTTAAATAAAATGCTATAGCCTAATGACATTACGAAAAGTGCGACAGCTGCAAATCACGTCGTTATTGCACTACACGAGTTATGCAGGCGTAAGGAGTCAAAAGTTTTTTTTTATCACCCTAATTAGATTATGAAGAATGATTTGTTGATCTTGTTTTCCCTTTAACACATAGCCTACCTTCCGCAATATATTTTTCAATTACTTTCAAAAAGTGGTAGGGACAATATTGACCCTGGCAAAAAGTGGTGGGGACTTGTCCCACCCGCAAATTACTCCTATGGTACAATTTATTCACATTTTTTCTAAGATTTTAGTCAAATACAGGTAGCAGAATAATGAACAATATACCAAGTAATTCAGTTCAATACTATTTTATAAGCTTATTAGCATTTTAAACAAACGTTTGGTCCCCATGCTAGCATGTTACTTTTTAATATCACAGTAAATTTTTATGTAATCTCTGTTCACTACTGAGAAATCCCCCCCCCCCCCCCTCCCTCCGCCCCCT